TGTGAGTGTCTCTGTGTGTGTCTGTGTGTGTGTCTGTGTGAGTGTGTCTCTCTGTGTGTGTGTCTGTGTGTGAGTGTCTCTCTGTGTGTGTGTCTGTGTGTGAGTGTCTCTTTGTGTGTGTGTCTGTGTGTGTGTCTCTGTGTGTGTCTCTTTGTGTGAGTGTCTTTGTGTGTCTGTGTGTGTGTGTCTGTGTGAGTGTGTCTCTCTGTGTGTGAGTGTCTCTTTGTGTGAGTGTCTCTGTGTGTGTGTCCCTGTGTGTGTCTGTGTGTGTGTCTCTGTGTGTGTGTATGTGTGTGTTTGTGTGAGTGTCTCTGTGTGTGTCTCTGTGTGTCTCTGTGTGTGAGTGTCTGTGTGTGTGTCTGTGTGTGTGTCTCTGTGTGTGTGTGTCTGTGTGTGAGTGTCTCTGTGTGTGTGTCTGTGTGTGAGTGTCTCTGTGTGTGTGTGTGTCTGTGTGTGTCTGTGTGTGTGTCTGTGTGTGTGTCTGTGTGTGTGTCTGTGTGTCTGTGTGTGTCTCAGCCGTGCTGAGTGCTCCGACTGTCACCTTGATGCTCCACAAGGATGCGACGCTGGAGGAGGGTGGTGAGGAGGGTGGTGAGGAGGGTGGTGAGGAGGGTGGTGAGGAGGGTGGTGAGGAGGGTGGTGACGAGGGTGGTGACGAGGAGGAGGAGTGTGGTAGTGAGCGTGAGGACTACAAACATGACGACAAAGATGGCTACGAGAATGACGACGACGATGACGGTGATGGCGGCGATGACGGTGATGGCGGTGGCGACGAGGGAGAGCGGTGGGAGCTGTCCGTGCGGGTCTCCATGAGGAGCGAGTGGAAGAGGAGGATGGCGCAGAGTGACGTGCTGTACCATCTACAAGCCGAGGTCTCCACAAGGAGGGGTGTGACTAGCACGGTGAGAGTGGGTGGGTGGGTGTGTGGGTGGGTGGGTGGGTGAGTGGGTGTGTGGGTGGGTGAGTGGGTGGGTGGGTGGGTGAGTGGGTGGGTGGGTGGGTGAGTGGGTGGGTGGGTGAGTGGGTGGGTGAGTGGGTGGGTGAGTGGGTGTGTGGGTGGGTGAGTGGGTGTGTGGGTGGGTGTGTGTGTGAGTGGGTGGGTGGGTGAGTGGGTGGGTGGGTGAGTGGGTGGGTGGGTGAGTGGGTGGGTGAGTGGGTGTGTGGGTGGGTGAGTGGGTGAGTGGGTGTGTGGGTAGGTGAGTGGGTGGGTGGGTGTGTGTGTGTGTGAGTGGGTGGGTGAGTGGGTGAGTGGGTGGGTGGGTGAGTGGGTGGGTGGGTGGGTGAGTGGGTGGGTGGGTGGTGGGTTGGGTGGGTGAGTGGGTGGGTGAGTGGGTGAGGGGGTGAGTGGGTGTGTGGGTGGGTGGATGAGTGGGTGGGTGTGTGGGTGGGTGGGTGGGTGGGTGAGTGGGTGGGTGGATGAGTGGGTGGGTTGGTGAGTGGGTGGGTGAGTGAGTGGGTGAGTGGGTGGATGAGTGAGTGAGTGGGTGGGTGGGTGGGTGGGTGAGTGGGTGAGTGGGTGGGTTGGTGAGTGGGTGGGTGGGTGGGTGGGTTGGTGAGTGGGTGGGTGGGTGGGTGAGTGAGTGGGTAGGTGGGTGGGTGAGTGGGTGGGCGGGTGGGTGGGAGAGTGAGTGGGTGAGTGGGTGGGTGGTGATGCTACTACTACTGATGACGATGCTATTGCTGCTGCTGCTACTGAATGTCCAGAAATGGTTGAGTTCTGTCAGCTTCCACTTCCATGCTGAACTGGATGGATGGGTTTTGCGAGTTGAGATGATTTAGAAACGCGCTCAGTCTATCTTTGCCGTGTGGCCAGACCACCAACGTGTCATCCACGTAACCCGGCACACTGAGACCATCTGCTTGCTCCTGCCAGGAGCGCTTTGTGGGATGTCGCTACCGCCACGCGCTGCCTCAGCCTGCAGGCGCTGCTGAGTACTGCGTCCGCGTGAGAGTCGCGGCTCGCTACCCGCGGTGGAAGACAGGGGAGTGGTCTCCACTGTCGTGTGTCTCCGTCCCTCCACCACACAGCGCCGTGGGTGAGTGGGTGGGTGGGTGAGTGGGTGGGTGGGTGAGTGGGTGAGTGAGTGGGATGGTGAGTGAGTGGGTGGGTGGGTGAGTGAGTGGGTGGTGAGTTAGTTGGTGGGTGAGAGAGTGGGTGAATGAGTGGGTGAGTGAGTGAGTGGGTTGGTGGGTGAGTGAGTTGGTGGGTGGGTGGGTGAATGAGTGAGTGAGTGGGTGGGTGAGTGGGTGGGTGAGTAGGTGGGTGGGTGGGTGGGTGAGTGAGTGAGTGAGTGGGTGGGTGAGTGGGTGAGTGGGTGGGTGGGTGGGTGAGTGAGTGGGTGAGTGAGTGGGTGGGTGAGCGAGTGATTTGGTAAGTAGTTGAGTGAGTGGGTGGGTTAGTGGGTGGGTGAGTAGTTGACTGAGTGGGTGGTTGAGTGAGTGGGTGCGTGAGTGAGTGGGTGGGTGAGTAGGTGGGTGGGTGAGTGAGTGGGTGGGTGAGTGGGTGGGTGAGTGGGTGGGTGAGCGAGTGATTTGGTAAGTAGTTGAGTGAGTGGGTGGTTTAGTGGGTGGGTGAGTAGTTGACTGAGTGGGTGGTTGAGTGAGTTGGTGCGTGAGTGATTGAGTGGGTGAGTGGGTGGGTGGGTGAGTGAGTGGGTGGGTGAGTGGGTGGGTGGGTGAGTGGGTGGGTGAGCGAGTGATTTGGTAAGTAGTTGAGTGATTGAGTGGGTGAGTGGGTGGGTGAGTGGCGCACCCATTTAGCCCTCTCTATCCGGCTGAACAAAAGCTGTTCAGACATGCGGTGGCTGGGCATGCAGGCTACATGGCCCAGCCAACGCAGCCTTGCCTGCCGGAGGAGCTCACCAATGGGACTTTGCCCAGATCTTTCTGGGATTTGTGAGCTCCTCACACAATCCAGCCTGCAGGTTAAACCCAGGATGGATCGTAGACAGGCCAGCCTAAATGTTTCTAACCGGCGAATATGTTCCATTAGGGGGGTCCACTTTTCGCATGCGTAGAGAAGGGAGGGAATGACCGTGGCCGAGAAGACCTGAAGATTCGTGCGGAGTGACAAACCAGGTAGCTTCCACACAGTATTATGTAACCGATGAAAAGGTAATGCCGCTCGACTGATTCGGAGTGAGACCTCAGCCAGTCATGAGCACACTGCCCAGGTATGGGAAACTCTCCACTCTCTCCACAACTCCTCAATCACCAATTGGGAGTTGTGGGGGTGGAGTGTCCAATGGTACAAAATACCCAGGCAGGTGCTTAGTTTTGGTGGGGCTGATGGTAAGGCCCCACCTCTTAGTGGCACGCTCCAGTCTCAGCAGCAGCGTCTCCAACTCCTCTTCTGAATGAGCAGCTATTACCAAATCATCAGCATACGCAACATGGTTGAGCGATAGGGAGCCATCCCTTGACCGCACCCGGGCATCGATCAGCCTCCCATTGTATCTGTAACAGATGGAAATTCCTCTGGTACAGCTATTGAAGGCTTCACGAACTATGTGGTTAAAATAAATGTTAAATAATGTGGGAGCCAGAGGACATCCCTGTCGCACCCCAAGGTGTACAGGGAAAGGCTCTGACTCCCGGCCACGTAGTTTTATCCGGGCCCGCTCACCATCATGAAGGTCCTTAATGATCGTGAGCAGAGGGTCAGGGACTCCGAAAGCACGAAAAACTGTCCAGAGCCCAGTCCTACTGATGGTATCATAGGCCTTGACCAGGTCAATAAAGCAGAGATGTAGGTCTTGTTGGAATTCCCTACACCTCTGCTGTAGCAGACGGACAGAAAATATGGCATCTGTGCAGGACCGCCCTTTCCTGAAACCGCATTGGGGCTCCGCAAGCCTCTCCTCAGCGTGCCTGGCAAGGCGGTGTTGAACAACAACACACAGACAGGTACACACAGACACACACACAGACACACACAGACAAATATCCCCCGTGTAGCCTTAACAGACTGTTGGGGCAAGTGCTGTTAGCGAGCACCTATGAAGGTCAGAACTTTACACGAGGGGGTGGGTGGCCAGCACCACGCCCGGCCGCCTTTGTCTCCCCAGTGGCGATGTTTATACGCCGCACCAGGTACTCATTTTGAGGCTGAGGCGACCTAGGGGAGGCCCGGGAACGGTTTAGATAATCGTCACCGGTGTTGGCCGTGAGCGGGAATCGAACCTGGGACGCTGGGTTCATAGCGCAGTGTAGCGCTAACCGCTGCACCACCGCTCCTCATCCAACAACACTGCTCAGCATCCCACTCTGTCTGTGTCTCTGTCTGTGTCTCTCTGTGTCTCTGTCTGTGTCTCTGTCTGTGTATCTGTCTCTCTGCCTGTATCTGTCTCACTGTGTCTCTGTCTGTGTCTCTCTGCCTGTATCTGTCTCACTGTGTCTCTGTCTGTTTCCCCCGTGACTCTGTCTCCCCATGTCTCCCCGTATCTCCTCGTGTGTCCCCAATCTCGTAGCCACCACCCCCGCCACCACCACCACCACCACCCCCACCACCACCCCCACCACCGCTGCCACCACCACCACCACCCCCACCACCGCTGCCACCACCACCACCCCCGCCACCACCGCCACCACCACCCCCACCACCACCGCCACCACCACCACCACCCCCACCACCACCCCCATCCCCACCACCACCACCGCCACCACCACCGCCGCCACCACCACCACCACAACCCCCACCACCACCACCCCCACCACCCCCACCACCACCACCCCCACCACCACCGCCACCACCACCCCCACCACCACCACCCCCACCACCACCACCCCCACCACCACCACCACCGCCGCCACCACCGCCGCCACCACCACCACCACCACCACCCCCACCACCACCCCACCACCACCGCCACCACCGCCACCACCACCACCCCCACCACCACCACCACCACCCCCACCACCGCCACCACCACCCCCACCACCACCCCCACCACCACCACCCGCACCACCACCCGCACCGCCACCACCACCGCCCCATCCACCTCGCGTGGGGTGTCCACGGGGGACGTGGTGACGCTCTTTGCCAGCGGCCGTGTCGCCTCCATCAGCTCGCTGGTGGCCATGGCGACGCTGCTGGTGACGCTGCTGGTGCTGGTGCTGGCGCTGGTGTGCACCGTGCGGAACAGACGGAGCCCCGGCAATCGTCCCGGTGAGCGGCGGCGGCTACACAGATGTTGACTACCTCGCCTGGTGCGTAGGAAGTCGTGGGTTCGATCCAGACCCTGACGCCTGCTGCTGTATACTTGGAGTTTGCGTGTCTCTCTCTCATCATCATCTACTACACTATAAGAGTTTCTCTCCCCACGCTGCGTGCGATCTTCTCGTTCCCCAGCGATGGAGCAGCCAGCGACCGCCCCGAGCCTGCTCCCTGACAGTCCCGGCAGCCACCACCACCACTGCGACCACCACCATCACCGCCGCTGCGACCACGACCACCACCACCACCATCACCACGGTGGCGGCGGTGGAGGAGCAGAGCTGGCAACTCTAGAATCCCGCCCCCGGCCCTGGTTGACATTGCCAGATGAAAGCCGCTCACCGAGTCGTCTCCGCACCAACCCGTTCACCTCCTGCAGGGTGACCGTGCGCTGGCCGCGAGACAGTGACCACCTCGCGTGGCACGCGCGACGTGCCGGGTTCCAGCTCGAGCCGTGACGACGACGCCCGCCGCTGTTGGCTCGGAGTTGGCGGCGTCCGTCTCTCCGCGTGGCGACGTCCGTTCCAGAGGAGAATGAATGATGTTTTACACGGCAAGTTATACATGTGTAGTGTTGTAAAGGACGGACTAATAAACCTCTTTATGGCACACACAGTTTATTGTCTTAATGACACAGTCCCTAACACACACAAGGGTTGTACGGTCCCCTCACCCGTTACCCTGAGGAGGTACAGCCTCCTGACCTGCACAGCTCACACTTCACTCCTAATCTACGGAGCTACAGCCTCCAGACTTGCCGTCTATCCAATCTCCCCGCCATCCCAGCGTCCTCCAGACTTGCCGTCTATCCAATCTCCCCGCTAGCCCAGCGTCCTCCAGACTTGCCGTCTATCCAATCTCCCCGCCATCCCAGCGTCCTCCAGACCTGCCGTCTATCCAATCTCCCCCCTAGCCCAGCGTCCTCCAGACTTGCCGTCTATCTAATCTCCCCGCTAGCCCAGCGTCCTCCGGACTTGCCGTCTATCCAATCTCCCCGCTAGTCCAGCGTCCTCCAGACTTGCCGTCTATCCAATCTCCCCGCCATCCCAGCGTCCTCCAGACTTGCCGTCTATCCAATCTCCCCGCCATCCCAGCGTCCTCCAGACCTGCCGTCTATCCAATCTCCCCCCTAGCCCAGCATCCTCCAGACCTGCCGTCTATCCAATCTCCCCCCTAGCCCAGCGTCCTCCAGACTTGCCGTCTATCCAATCTCCCCGCCATCCCAGCGTCCTCCAGACTTGCCGTCTATCCAATCTCCCCGCCATCCCAGCGTCCTCCAGACTTGCCGTCTATCCAATCTCCCCGCCATCCCAGCGTCCTCCAGACTTGCCGTCTATCCAATCTCCCCCCTAGCCCAGCGTCCTCCAGACTTGCCGTCTATCCAATCTCCCCGCCATCCCAGCGTCCTCCAGACTTGCCGTCTATCCAATCTCCCCGCCATCCCAGCGTCCTCCAGACTTGCCGTCTATCCAATCTACCCCCTAGCCCAGCGTCCTCCAGACTTGCCGTCTATCCAATCAACCCCCTAGCCCAGCGTCCTCCGACTTGCCGTCTATCCAATCTCCCCGCTAGCCCAGCGTCCTCCAGACTTGCCGTCTATCCAATCTCCCCGCTAGTTCAGCGTCCTCCAGACTTGCCGTCTATCCAATCTCCCCGCTAGTTCAGCGTCCTCCAGACTTGCCGTCTATCCAATCACCCCGCTAGTTCAGCGTCCTCCAGACTTGCCGTCTATCCAATCAACCCCCTAGCCCAGCATCCTCCAGACTTGCCGTCTATCCAATCAACCCCCTAGCCCAGCGTCCTCCAGACTTGCCGTCTATCCAATCTCCCCGCCATCCCAGCGTCCTCCAGACTTGCCGTCTATCCAATCTCCCCGCCATCCCAGCGTCCTCCAGACTTGCCGTCTATCCAATCTCCCCGCCATCCCAGCGTCCTCCAGACTTGCCGTCTATCCAATCTCCCCCCTAGCCCAGCGTCCTCCAAACTTGCCGTCTATCCAATCTCCCCGCCATCCCAGCATCCTCCAGACTTGCCGTCTATCCAATCTCCCCGCCATCCCAGCGTCCTCCAGACTTGCCGTCTATCCAATCTCCCCCCTAGCCCAGCGTCCTCCAGACTTGCCGTCTATCCAATCAACCCCCTAGCCCAACGTCCTCCGACTTGCCGTCTATCCAATCTCCCCGCTAGCCCAGCGTCCTCCAGACTTGCCGTCTATCCAATCTCCCCGCTAGTTCAGCGTCCTCCAGACTTGCCGTCTATCCAATCTCCCCGCTAGTTCAGCGTCCTCCAGACTTGCCGTCTATCCAATCACCCCGCTAGTTCAGCGTCCTCCAGACTTGCCGTCTATCCAATCAACCCCCTAGCCCAGCATCCTCCAGACTTGCCGTCTATCCAATCAACCCCCTAGCCCAGCGTCCTCCAGACTTGCCGTCTATCCAATCTCCCCGCCATCCCAGCGTCCTCCAGACTTGCCGTCTATCCAATCTCCCCGCCATCCCAGCGTCCTCCAGACTTGCCGTCTATCCAATCTCCCCGCCATCCCAGCGTCCTCCAAACTTGCCGTCTATCCAATCTCCCTGCCATCCCAGCATCCTCCAGACTTGCCGTCTATCCAATCTCCCCGCCATCCCAGCGTCCTCCGGACTTGCCGTCTATCCAATCTCCCCGCCATCCCAGCGTCCTCCGGACTTGCCGTCTATCCAATCTCCCCCCTAGCCCAGCGTCCTCCAGACTTGCCGTCTATCCAATCTCCCCGCCATCCCAGCATCCTCCAGACTTGCCGTCTATCCAATCTCCCCCCTAGCCCAGCGTCCTCCAGACTTGCCGTCTATCCAATCTCCCCCCTAGCCCAGCGTCCTCCAGACTTGCCGTCTATCCAATCTCCCCGCCATCCCAGCGTCCTCCAGACTTGCCGTCTATCCAATCTACCCGCCAGCCCAGCGTCCTCCAGACTTGCCGTCTATCCAATCTCCCCCCTAGCCCAGCGTCCTCCAGACTTGCCGTCTATCCAATCTCCCCGCCATCCCAGCGTCCTCCAGACTTGCCGTCTATCCAATCTCCCCGCCATCCCAGCGTCCTCCAGACTTGCCGTCTATCCAATCTCCCCGCCATCCCAGCGTCCTCCAGACTTGCCGTCTATCCAATCTCCCCCCTAGCCCAGCGTCCTCCAGACTTGCCGTCTATCCAATCTCCCCGCCATCCCAGCGTCCTCCAGACTTGCCGTCTATCCAATCTCCCCGCCATCCCAGCGTCCTCCAGACTTGCCGTCTATCCAATCTCCCCCCTAGCCCAGCGTCCTCCAGACTTGCCGTCTATCCAATCAACCCCCTAGCCCAGCGTCCTCCGACTTGCCGTCTATCCAATCTCCCCGCTAGCCCAGCGTCCTCCAGACTTGCCGTCTATCCAATCTCCCCGCTAGTTCAGCGTCCTCCAGACTTGCCGTCTATCCAATCTCCCCGCTAGTTCAGCGTCCTCCAGACTTGCCGTCTATCCAATCTCCCCGCTAGTTCAGCGTCCTCCAGACTTGCCGTCTATCCAATCAACCCCCTAGCCCAGCATCCTCCAGACTTGCCGTCTATCCAATCAACCCCCTAGCCCAGCGTCCTCCAGACTTGCCGTCTATCCAATCTCCCCGCCATCCCAGCGTCCTCCAGACTTGCCGTCTATCCAATCTCCCCGCCATCCCAGCGTCCTCCAGATTTGCCGTCTATCCAATCTCCCTGCCATCCCAGCGTCCTCCAGACTTGCCATCTATCCAATCTCCCCGCCATCCCAGCGTCCTCCAAACTTGCCGTCTATCCAATCTCCCCGCCATCCCAGCATCCTCCAGACTTGCCGTCTATCCAATCTCCCCGCCATCCCAGCGTCCTCCGGACTTGCCGTCTATCCAATCTCCCCCCTAGCCCAGCGTCCTCCAGACTTGCCGTCTATCCAATCTCCCCGCCATCCCAGCATCCTCCAGACTTGCCGTCTATCCAATCTCCCCCCTAGCCCAGCGTCCTCCAGACTTGCCGTCTATCCAATCTCCCCCCTAGCCCAGCGTCCTCCAGACTTGCCGTCTATCCAATCTCCCCGCCATCCCAGCGTCCTCCAGACTTGCCGTCTATCCAATCTACCCGCCAGCCCAGCGTCCTCCAGACTTGCCGTCTATCCAATCTCCCCGCCAGCCCAGCGTCCTCCAAACTTGCCGTCTATCCAATCTCCCCGCCATCCCAGCATCCTCCAGACTTGCCGTCTATCCAATCTCCCCGCCATCCCAGCGTCCTCCGGACTTGCCGTCTATCCAATCTCCCCCCTAGCCCAGCGTCCTCCAGACTTGCCGTCTATCCAATCTCCCCGCCATCCCAGCATCCTCCAGACTTGCCGTCTATCCAATCTCCCCCCTAGCCCAGCGTCCTCCAGACTTGCCGTCTATCCAATCTCCCCCCTAGCCCAGCGTCCTCCAGACTTGCCGTCTATCCAATCTCCCCGCTAGCCCAGCGTCCTCCAGACTTGCCGTCTATCCAATCTCCCCGCCATCCCAGCGTCCTCCAGACTTGCCGTCTATCCAATCTCCCCGCCAGCCCAGCGTCCTCCAGACTTGCCGTCTATCCAATCTCCCCGCCATCCCAGCGTCCTCCAGACTTGCCGTCTATCCAATCTCCCCGCCATCCCAGCGTCCTCCAGACTTGCCGTCTATCCAATCTCCCCGCCATCCCAGCGTCCTCCAGACTTGCCGTCTATCCAATCTCCCCGCCAGCCCAGCGTCCTCCAGACTTGCCGTCTATCCAATCTCCCCGCCATCCCAGCGTCCTCCAGACTTGCCGTCTATCCAATCTCCCCACTAGCCCAGCGTCCTCCGGCTGGACCTAGGGGAGGCACACCGACCCGGCGGGTCCCCGACCCTCTGCTCACTCGAGACCTTCGCCCTCACGAGGGCGGGAAGGCTGGGAGCCAGGGTCCTATCCAGGACCTATCTCCCCTGACCACTGGTGACACTGAGCCCCAGCCCTGACAAGGGCTGGGGTCACCACACAGAGACCCACAGACTCACCACACAGAGACCCACAGACTCACCACACAGAGACCCACAGACTCACCACATAGAGACCCACAGACTCACCACACAGAGACCCACAGACTCACCACACAGAGACCCACAGACTCACCACGTGTCCCAGCGTTGGTTGTGTCCCGGTCTGTCCATGGCCTGGCCTCCTCTCTCCTTGCCTGGCTGCTTGCCCCGTGAGTGAGGCTGCCTGCCCAGCTGTTTTGTTGTTTACTGGGGGAGACATTGTGGTGCTGGTGGTGATGGTAATAAAGGTGGCAAGTTCACTTACCTGGGCTGGAACTGCTCTGAGCAGGTGGGCGCGTCGTGATGATGCTGTTGTTGTTGTGCACAAGACTTGAACTAGAAACTAAACCGCGTTTTATTTTTAGCGGGCAAGGGCCTCATTGAGATGCTGTGTGTGTAAGCTCTCTTTTAGAAGGCCCTGACCTGGCCATTACCGATGACAGTTCTACCAATGAGGTTCATCATCATCATCACGTGAACCTTTATAGCAGTTGGCAAAGACTCTAGCAACTCACGGCTCTCAAATGTGGAGGGGAAAACCAGAGGGCCCGGAAAGAAAATCCACTCGACAACAGAAAGACAGAGAGACACAAACTCTATGCAGCAGCTGCAGCATCAACTGCCGGTCTCTGTGCGTGTCTGTGTCTCTGCGTGTGTCTGCGTGTGTCTGTGTCTGTAACGGTGTGTCTGTGTCTATGTCTCTGCGTGTCTTTGTGTCTCTGCGTGCATGTCTCTGTGTGTCTCTACGTGTCTCTGCGTGTGTGTCCATGTCTCTATGTGTGTGTGTCTCTGCATGTCTACGTGTGTGTCCATGTCGTCTCTGTGTGTGTCTGTGTCTCTGTGTGTGTGTCTGTGTGTGTGTCTATATCTGTGTGTGTGTGTCTCTGCATGTGTGTCTCTGTGTCTGTGTGTCTCTGCGTGTGTGTCTGTGTGTGTCTCTCTGTGTGTGTCTATGTCTCTGTGTGTGTGTCTCTGCGTGTCTGTGTGTGTCTCTGTGTGTGTGTGTGTCTCTGCGTGTGTCTCTGTGTGTGTGTCTATGTGTGTGTCTGTGTCTCTGTGTGTGTCCATGTCTCTGTGTGTGTGTCTCTGTGTGTGTGTCTATGTCTCTGTGTGTGTGTCTCTGTGTCTCTGTGTGTGTGTCACTGTGTGTCTCTGTGTGTGTGTCACTGTGTGTGTGTGTGTCTGTGTCACTGCGTGTGTGTGTCTGTGTCTCTGCATGTGTGTGTCTGTGTGTCTCTGTGTGTGTGTGTCTCTGTGTGTGTGTCTATGTCTCTGTGTGTGTCTGTGTGTCTCTGTGTGTGTGTCTGTGTCTCTGCATGTGTGTCTATGTCTCTGTGTGTGTGTCTGTGTCTCTGTGTGTGTGTGTGTCTGTGTGTGTGTCTCTGTGTGTGTGTCTGTGTCTCTGCATGTGTGTCTCTGTGTGTGTCTGTGCGTCTCTGCGTGTGTGTCTCTGTGTGTGTGTCTCTGTGCGTCTCTGCGTGTGTCTGTGTGTGTCTCTGTGTGTGTCTATGTGTGTCTCTGTGTGTGTCTGTGTCTCTGCATGTGTCTCTGTGTGTCTGTATGTGTCTGTGTCTCTGCATGTGTCTCTGTGTGTCTGTGTGTCTCTGCGTGTGTGTCTGTGTGTGTCTCTCTGTGTGTGTCTATGTCTCTGTGTGTGTGTCTCTGTGTGTCTGTGTGTGTCTGTATGTGTCTCTCTGTGTGTGTCTATGTCTCTGTGTGTGTGTCTCTGCGTGTCTGTGTGTGTCTCTGTGTGTGTGTCTCTGTGTGTGTCTGTCTCTGTGTGTGTCTATGTCTCTGTGTGTGTGTCTCTGTGTGTCTCTGTGTGTGTCTGTGTGTGTGTCTCTGTGTGTGTGTCTCTGTGTGTATCAATGTCTCTGTGTGTCTCTGTGTGTCTCTGTGACAGTCGAGTACGGAGACTCGTGATGTGCACCGACTCTGTTCATGTGCGACACAACTTCACGCCACGTGGTCCCACTGGGAAAGAGGGCGGCACAAGTAAACACTAACACGAACCGGTAAACCATTGGCAATTGATCAAAGCTATAAAGGCGATGATCCAGGAAAATTATATTATGATGCTGCATGAAAAGGTAATAGGTTACTCTGAAGTTCCTGGCCATTGGAACGTTGGTAATGATCAGGAACATGCCCTGACAAAACAGGGAAGTCTGAAATATGCTGGGTGTAAATCAGCACATCAAATTAAATCCGCAGAGGAGGGAAAGAAAGGTCCCAAGCATGCGACACTCGGCCGAGAGAGTGGGGAGAGAGAGAGGAAGAGACTTTTCACGACTTTATTTCCACTAAAACATTAACAAAAAACCATTACAGGAAAACACACGTACATTGTGAATCAACAAAACATCAAACTCTTAACAGCTGTGTGTGCACGAACTACACGTGGCACAGGGATAGAGGCTGTGCAAACGAGGCGGTGCACGGACCTCTCCGTGTGTAGCAAAGTCGCTACGCTGAAGAGTTTTTCAATTTGATAAAGAATCAAATGTTTTGACATCAGAATGCGACGTGAACAAAATACTTTTTTCTCCCCGACATTTTCAAAACAAAATGGCGTTGACGCGTAAAACACCTGAAATCATTTTGTCTTTACGGATTCAGTTGTCGGTCGTCATTAGAGTGTAATGACAGGGTGACACCTGGTGTGACGAGGACGTGTGCGGGGCCACGGGGTGACGAGTCAAATGAGGCACAACGTGAAGTCAGGGCTGGTCCCCCCCCAACGAGGGAAACAGGAAAGGGGCGGACGGCTGAGTGGAGAGCGAGCGGCAGAGGTCGCAACCGGGTACCCGGTACCCGTACCCTACCCGATACCCGTACCCTACCCGATACCCGGCTACCCGTACCCTACCCGATACCCGTACCCTACCCGATACCCGTACCCTACCCGATACCCGGCTACCCGTACCCTACCCGATACCCGTACCCTACCCGATACCCGGCTACCCGTACCCTACCCGATACCCGGTTACCCGTACCCGATACCCGTACCCTACCCAATACCCGGCTACCCGTACCCGGCCGGGTACGGGTAAGCCGTGAGTCACTGGTGAGTCACCGTGTGTCACTCATTTGCCAACGTCTTGTCTCTTCTCACAATTCAAGTTCCTAGAATCAACCCACCCGCGCCTGCAACGTGGCTTCATCCCAGAGGTCGCAATCGGGTACCCGATACCTGTACCCTACCCGTACCCGGCCGGATACGGGTAGCCGGGTATCGGGTAGGGAACGTGTACGGGTACCCGATTGCGAGCTCTGGCATGCGGCAACGTGACCATGTCGAGTGAGCGGCCGGGCAACTTGCAGTTTGACGGTGAACACGGCAGAACGGATGTGAGCTTCAAGCGGTAGGACACCGTCCGCGGTCTGATGAACGCCGCCACGACGGCCACGCGGCACTACGGGTGCGTGCCGCTTGTCGGCAGGCGCGCGGCGACCGGCTGCCGGGGCGCGGGGAAGTCGCCGGGATACGCCGGGAGGTCCCGGACGGGGCGGCCGGGAGGCGCCGTCGCGACGGGGGCCGGGCCCGCCCTCGGGTTCGCGTCGCTGAGGATTTCGTGGAGGAGCTCGCTGGCAACTTCGCGCGCTCCCTCCACGCTGGAGCTCAGCACCGCGGGGAAGAAGCCGCTGCCTTCCCGCATCATCCCGGGAACGGAGACCTTGTACAGGAGGCCCATGGGCCTGCCGGGCTCCGAGTGAGCGTGCAGTTCGAAGGTCGCGTGGCCCACGCCGGCGCTCCGTAGCAGCGCCTGCAAACGCGTCTCCCACGACAAGACGGCCGCCTCCGGCAGCTCGTCCAGACCGACGGGCGTGGGCCGCGAGTGGCGGGGTGCCCGCCAGAGCTGCGTGCGCGCCGCCCAGCCCACAAACAGGCTGTGCGGGACCTTGCCGCAGACGGCGCACTCCGGCTGCGGGAGGCCTGGGACCGCCGCCACCTCCTCCTCGTCTTCAATTGCCTCCTCCTCCACCTCCTCCTCCACCACCTCCTCCTCCTCTACCACCTCATCCTCCTCCTCCTCCACCACCTCTTCCTCCTCATCTTCAGTTGCCCCCGCCTCCTCCTCCCCCTCCTCCTCGTCTTCCGTTGCCTCCTCCTCCCCCTCCTCCTCCTCCCCCTCCTCCCCCACCTCCTCCTCCTCCTCCACCACCTCATCCTCCTCCTCCTCCACCACCTCTTCCTCCTCATCTTCAGTTGCCCCCGCCTCCTCCTCCCCCTCCTCCACGTCTTCCGTTGCCTCCTCCTCCCCCTCCTCCTCCTCCCCCTCCTCCCCCACCTCCTCCTCCTCCACCACCTCTTCCACCTCCTCCTCCACCACCTCTTCCTCCTCATCTTCAGTTGCCCCCGCCTCCTCCTCCTCCTCGTCTTCCGTTGCCTCCTCCTCCTCCACATCCTCCTCCTCCACCTCCTCCTCCCCCCCTCCTCCTCGTCTTCCGTTGCCTCCTCCTCCCGCTCCACCACCTCTTCCACCTCCTCCTCCTCCACCACCTCTTCCTCCTCGTCTTCAGTTGCCGCCTCCTCCTCCCCCCCCTCCTCGTCGTCTTCCGTTGCCACCGCCGCGGCAGCAGCAGCAGCCGCCGCCCCCGGCTCTCGCTGCGGGATGGCCCAGTCCACGTTGATGTCCCGGCCCCACAGCCGGAAGGAGTACGGCAGCAGCACCCTGCGGGCCATGCAGGCCGCGCGGTGGCTCTCGTATTCGACGAACGCGTAGCCTCGGCTGAGGCTCCTGTCGTAGCGACAGAAGCGCATCTGGACGTCCACGACGCCCTCCGTGGCGTCGCTCATCGCCGCCATCACCTCGGCCCGCGTCTTGTCCTTCGGCAGCCTCGCCAAGAAGAGGCGGCGATTGTCGACGCTCACGCAAACCGCGATCCGTCGCCCCGGGCGGATCTCCAAGTCGTGGGGTCTCTTGACGGCGTCCGCGGCTTGCGAGCGCGTCGCGAAGGTGGCGAACGCGTAGCCGCGGTTCTCTCCGTCGTACGTCATCATGAGGCGCAGCTGGTACAGCTGCCCCACCGCCTCCAGCACGGGAAGCAGCTCGTCCTCGTACAGGTCGCGCGGGATCCTCGCCACGAACACCTCGCAGCCGCGGGCGGGAGGGGGGCCCTGCCAGTCGGGCGGCGGTCCCAGCTTCCTCTGTCCGTTCTCCTGGACGACGTTGTAGCCCGTGCGCAACATGAGGTCCAGAAGGTCCCTCTCCACGCAGCTCATGATGTCGAGCATCGGCGCTTTGTCCACGGCGGCGGTGACGACGGGGCAGCGGTTTGGGGCCCGTTGGAGCCCTTGACACTCACCGGCGCAGAAGCCTCGTGCCGACAAAGCCACGGCGGGGGGCGGAATCAACTCGTGAAAAGGCGGGAACTCGCTCGGGCCAAGCCTACAGGCCCAGCAGTGGAGAGAGGAAGAGAGAGTGGAGAGACGGATGGAGAGAGAGCTACCTTTGTAAACTCGGAAAATCACAATAAAATAAAAACCCAAGAAACTGTGTCTTGACCTTTGAACCGCCCTGTATAATGACCCCTCACCCCCAGTAGACGACCTGGTACCCCTCCTCACTCATCCACTCACTGACCCATCCACGCACCTCACACACCCACTCGCTCACACACTCACCCACCCACTCACCCGCACACCCACTCGCTCACACACTCACCTCACACACTCACCCACCCACTCGCCCGCACACCCACTCGCTCACACACCCACCCACTCACCCGCACACCCACTCGCTCACACACTCACCCACCCACTCACATCACCCGCACACCCACCCACTCACCCGCACACCCACTCGCTCACACACTCACCCACCCACTCACCCGCACACCCACTCGCTCACACACTCACCCACCCACTCACCCGCACACTCACCCGCACACCCACTCGCTCACACACTCACTCTCTCACACACTAACCTCACACACTCACCCACCCACTCACCCGCACACCCACTCGCTCACACACTCACCTCACACACTCACCCACCCACTCACCCGCACACCCACTCGCTCACACACTCACCCACCCACTCACCCGCACACCCACTCGCTCACACAATCACCCACCCACTCACCTCACCCACTCACTGATGATGATGAGAGAGAGAGACACGCAGACTCCAAATATACAGCAGTTGGCGTCGCCAGGGCCGGGATCGAACCCACGACCTCCTGCATACCAGGCGAGGTAGTTAACATCTCCTAGCCACCGTGATGATGATGAGAGAGACACACAAACTCCAAATATACAGCAAGAATCTTCAGGATCGAGATCAAACCCATGACCTCCTGTATACCAGGCGAGGGAGTTAACATCTCCTAGCCACCGTGATGATGAGAGAGAGACACACAAACTCCAAATATACAGCAAGAATCTTCAGTATCGGGATCAAACCCACGACCTCCTGCATACCAGGCGAGGTAGTTAACATCTCCTAGCCACCGTGATGATGAGAGAGAGACACAAACTCCAACTCCAAATAAAGTTTGAATGTATGCGTGTCGTTAAACCGGCCATCAGCCGACAGCCGATTCGCAAGGTTTATCACGTGACATACCGTGCCAATCTGTCACTGGAGCAGCACTAACCGGTTGTGTGTTGGAGTGTCTGTGTGTACACTGTGTGTGTCTGTGTGTACACTGTGTGTGTGTACACTGTGTGTGTCTGTTTGTACACTGTGTGTGTCTGTGTGTGTGTGTCTGTGTGTGTGTACACTGTGTGTCTGTGTGTACACTGTGTATGTGTGTCTGTGTGTGCACTGTGTTTGTGTGTGTACACTCTGTGTGTGTCTGTGTGTGTGTACACTGTGTGTCTGTGTGTGTACACACTGTGTGTGTCTGTGTGTGTGTCTGTGTGTGTGTGTATACAGTGTGTGTGTGTACTGTGTGTGTACACTGTGTGTACACTGTGTGTGTGTGTACACTGTGTGTGTACACTGTGTGTGTGTGTGTGTCCACTGTGTGTCTGTGTGTACACTGTGTATTTGTGTGTACACTGTGTATGTGTGTCTGTACACTGTGTGTCTGTGTGTACACTGTGTATGTGTCTGTGTGTGCACTGTGTGTGTGTACACTCTGTGTGTGTACACTGTGTGTGTGTGTACACTGTGTGTGTGTGTGCACTGTGTGTGTGTACACTGTGTGTGTACACACTGTGTGTGTACACACACTGTGTGTGTCTGTGTGTGTGTCCACTGTGTGTGTGTACACTGTGTGTGTGTACACTGTGTGTCTGTGAGTACACTGTGTGTGTGTACACTGTGTGTGTGTGAGTACACTGTGTATGTGTGTCTGTGTGTGCACTGTGTGTGTGTACACTCTGTGTGTGTGTCTGTGTGTGTGTACACTGTGTGTTTGTGTGTAAACTGTGTGTGTACACACTGTGTGTCTGTGTGTGTTTGTCTGTGTGTGTGTACACTGTGTGTGTGTACAATGTGTGTGTGTACACTTTGTGTGTGTGTGCACTGTGTGTGTGTGTGTACACTGTGTGTGTGCACTGTGTGTGTGTGTGTGCACTATGTGTGTGTGTACATTGTGTGCACTGTGTGTGTGCACTGTGTGTGTGTGTGTACACTGTGTGTATGTGTGTTCACCACGCCCGGCGGACCCGTTATTCGATCCCGACTCCTGCCGGGGGAGGCGCTCCGGGCGCGGCGGGTCCGCTAGGAAAACTCGGGATGGCCCGAGGCCGACTAGGCCGCAGTCTTCCCTCCCCTCTGTTCTAGATGGTGACGGTGTTGCTGATGTTGTTGTTGTTGATGCTGATGATGTTGTTGTTGATGCTGCTGATGTTGTTGTTGTTGCTGTTGCTGATGATGATGTTGATATTTCTGCTGATGCTAGGGGTGGTGATGATGTTGCTGATGATGTTGTTGTTGATGCTGATGATGATGCTGATGATATTGTTGTATATGATGGTGTAAATGATGTTTATTGATAATGTTGATGATCGCAAACATTAACATAATTTATTAATTTATTCAGTTAGGGTAGCCTCTCATTGTGGGAGGGGAGGGTCTTGTACCCCAGAAAGTGACGTCATGTCATCTGCTGCCGGGTGACGTCACGAGGTAACAGGCAGCTGGAGGTCCGCGCGTGAACTGAAATCCGAGGTGAGAAATTTTCATTGCGGTTGTTGTGGTTGTTGTGGTTGTTGTTGTTTACCAAGCTAGAGCCTCGCTCTCTCTCTCTCGTAGGGATGTCAATAGAGCAGCAGCAGCTTGTGAATCGATGTCCAAGTTGGAACTTTACAACGCGGGGCCTAGACACGCGGGGCCTTGCCTCCTGCCCTCGCCTGGTCGCGTTTGCTTTAATTCCCTCCCTTAAGTTTAATTTGTCTTCACGCGGCTCGCTACTTTGTCACTTTGGTTTATTGTAGATATTAAGGCAGTTTTTTTTTTTCGTTTTTTACCAGCCCAAGCCCGCCTGAGCTGCTGTACCGCTCTAGTTTACAGAAGCTACCTGCCCACAACAACAACAAGGTATGGGGGGTTTTGTCAACGCGTGTGTCAATGTTTTGACTTAAAACTTTCGTAACTGCAGCAATTCATATTCTTGGTTCTTTCGGTGAAGTCACGGAGATAGAAAATTAATAAAAATAACAGATAATAAAATGAATAAAAGTAAACAAAATTGTAAATAAAACCACGACGTTTCTATCACAACACAAGTGGCATTTATTTGATGTTATCTGTTGTTATTGTCTATCTACGTAACTTTACCGAAAGAACCAAGAATACGTGTGGAAATGTGTATCGGTCAAAGACGCTAATCACGTGCTGATGTTGACTCTAAATGTGGAGGGGAAACCCGGGAGATTCGGAGGAAAATCCACGCGACCACGGAGAGAGAGACACGCAAACTCCAAATATACAGCAGCAGCAGGCGTCAGGGTCGGGATCGAACCCACGACTTCCTGTATACCAGGCGAGGTAGTCAACATCTCACCACGGAGAGAGAGAGAGACACGCAAACTCCAAATATACAGCAGCAGGCGTCAGGGTCGGGATCGAACCCACGACTTCTTGTATACCAGGTGAGGTAGTTAACATCTCACCACGGAGATACGAGGGCTTCCAGGCATATTTATGACCATTTGCCCTCTCATTGTGTGCAATAACAGCCTGTGTGATGAATTTGGGAAACTTTTTCACTACATCATGAATATATGAATAAGTATAGACGTGTAAGTCACGTGTGACTGTGTATATGCATTACTCTGTGTCTGACGTGTAGGTGGTGTGGATATAATTTTTTTCTGTCTGCAGCTGTCGCTTGGTCTGATGGAGCAAAGGCGCTCAGCACAGCTCGGTACGGCAAGGCAACAATGCGACCAGCGTGGATACAGCACGGAGCGGACTGGAAATTTTACACACCACCAGAGAGCACACACAGGAGAGAAACCCTTCAAGTGCACTGTGTGTGGGATGGCGTTTGCATGGCCATCATTTCTTCAGATCCACCAGAGAACACACACAGGAGAGAAACCCTTCAAGTGCACTGTGTGTGGGATGGCGTTTGCATGGCCATCATTTCTTCAGATCCACCAGAGAACACACACAGGAGAGAAACCCTTCAAGTGCAGTGTGTGTGGGAAGGCGTTTTCACGGTCATCTACTCTTATAAAACACCAGAGAACACACACGGGAGAGAAACCCTTCAAGTGCAGTGTGTGTGGGAAGGCGTTTGCACAATCACCACATCTTCAAGCACACCAGAGAACCCACACGGGAGAGAAACCCTTCAAGTGCAGTGTGTGTGGGAAGGCATTTTCAATGTCATCTTCTCTTATAAAACACCAGAGAACCCACACGGGAGAGAAACCCTTCAAGTGCAGTGTGTGTGGGAAGGCATTTTCACGGTCATTTTCTCTTAAAAAACACCAGAGATCACACACAGGAGAGAAACCCTTCAAGTGCACTGTGTGTGGGAAGGCATTTACACAGTCATCAAATCTTAAAACACACCAGAGAACACACACGGGAGAGAAACCCTTCAAGTGCAGTGTGTGTGGGAAGGCATTTTCACGGTCATCTTCTCTTATAAAACACCAGAGAACACACACGGGAGAGAAACCCTTCAAGTGCAGTGTGTGGGAAGGCGTTTGCACAATCACCACATCTTCAAGCACACCAGAGAACCCACACGGGAGAGAAACCCTTCAAGTGCACTGTGTGTGGGAAGGCATTTTCACGGTCATCTTCTCTTATAAAACACCAGAGAACACACACGGGAGAGAAACCCTTCAGGTGCACTCCGTGCGGGAAGGCGTTTGCACAGTCAGAACATCTTCATGTACACCAGAGAATGCACAAGCATCAGAATATCCACCAGGAGTGGAGTCTGAAATCAGCTTGTGAAAGTCAAAGTGCTGCAATGAGCCCATCCCTCATCAAACATGAACCGGAAGAAAATCCCAGCTTGGACACTTTTAAAGGTAACGAGGTGAAATATGAAGAGGTGAAGGTGAAATGTGAAGAGGTGATGGTGAAGAGCGAAGAAGTGAAGGTAAAATGTGAAGATGAAGAATCAACTCCAAAATGGGACCTTCACATCGATGGAGGCAACGTGAAGCAGGAGGAGAATTCTGACTGTGAGGCAGAGTAAGGCAACTCCAAGCATCTTCTTGGTTCTTTCGGTAAAGTCACGTAGAAGGGAAGTAATACAATAATACAAATAAAACATGATCACATAATTCTCACGACGTTTCGGCCACAACGCAAGCAGCTGTCCTCAGGTGAAAGAACCAAGAAGATGAATCCCTGCAGTCAGGAAAGCTTTAAATTGAAACTCCCAGCAGTTTGTGGAGGTGTGGCTGGACTTCCTAGACAACACAAAGTCAAATGGAGACCCGGTAGATGAGTAAGCCAGAGACGATGTCGCTGCAATAGATGCTCCTTTGTCACAGGCCTTTAATGACAATAACGTGAAGTTGAACACTCAGTTCCTGGGTTCAACCTGCAGGGTAAGAGTGAGTGGCCAGTTACTGCAGCTACATACTATTAACACTCCTTCCCTTTGTTAATGCTACCCCTATCCCCTTCCTTTGATGCTGCTAATTCTGCATAATGCACGGGCATAAGTGGTACTAATCACATACCTGCATTTCTCATAAATATGCTAAATGCCTCTTGATATGCAAATTCCTTTGTCAAGGCGCCCAGCTTATATGCTCCAAGCGCGTGTGCTGTTTCATTCAGACGCTGTCGCCTCGACAGACCTGGTTTTCACCTGAGGACGGCTGCTTGCGTTGTGGCCGAAACGTCGTGAGAATTGTTTTATTGTGTTTTATTTTTATTATTTTATTACTTCCCTTCTACGTGACGACTTTACCGAAAGAAGCAAGAAGACGAGTGGCCAGTCTTAGTGGACCTGTGGGTTGGGTCGGTCTCTCACCAGGAGCGAGAGCCAATAAGCCCCCAAGCATTCACGATGTTCTCATCATAATTGCTGTTGCATGGCGCTTGTCTGAAACACTCGAAGAGCATCCCCAAGTAGCAGCTGCCCCTGTGTGGCACAAGGTGGTGGCCCTTGACCAGCCTGCATGTGAACACGAGCCTGTCAGTAGTGGCGATGATTGATGTGTAATCTCAGCTGTGTCGTTTGTAGGTGATCTTGACTTGAAGCTTTTGTGACTGCAGGAATCCACACTCTTTAGTTCTTTCGGTGACGTCACGTGGGTCGAAAAATTCTAGATCACGGCGTTTCGATGGCAACACAAGCGATCGTCATCAGGTGTGACAACCACAATCACCACCATCACCACCATCACCACCATCATCACCAACTGAGGTAGACGCCAACTTCAGCAGTTATTGACGTGGTCCCAGCTGATGGCGACTGCTTGCGTTGCGATCGAAACGTCGTGATCTATTATTTGTAGGTAATGTTTAGAATTTGCTACGTTTTGACCCAGACGCCAGCATGCAATGGACTACTCGTTTTGAATGACACAATAGTATGTGTTAAAATAGCTTCTTGTTAATACGATGTTGCCTGATGCAGTATGTTTCGCTGCAGTAATTCAATTTTGTTAATATGCCTGTCAATAATTTAGAATGAATACTTGTCTGATTGTGCATGTACATGTAACATTTTGTCTGTGAGGGTCAAACATGAAGTGTTCAAATCTAGAGTGATTAAGTGTGTGTGTTTAGAAGTAACCTGTACAGATCACTCGGGCGAGATCATTCATCAGTTACAAGGCATACCACTTAAAAGTTACACGTAGAGGAGATACATTCTTGACAACACGAATTATAATTTTGCATTCACGCAAGCACCCGATGCTCCGTTTTGAAGTTTTAAAATGAAACGTCTTCGAATTGTGTTGTGTTTTGAATTGTATTTCTTAATTAAAAGCTTACATCGTTTTACATCTGGAAGACTTCGTTGAAAAGGACATTCCGTGTGAATTCCTCTCGTCATTTCGCCGCGGACTGTCACCTGCTTGGGATCGCGGGATCGAGAGAAGGCGACACGGAGCTGCTGGCCGTGCGACAAGATTGCGGATCGATTTCACGGTCGAGTGTCTGTCCCTGCGCCTCCGTTGTCCATGCAGGCGGCGCGTGGAGCAGACGTCACACACGGGTTTGATTCCTTACCCGTACCCGGCCGCACCAGGGTTGAAAACGGCCGGGTAGCCGGGTGTCGGGTAGGGTACGGGTATCGGGTACCCGGTTGCGACCTCTGGGATGAAGCCATGTTGCAGGCGCGGGTGGGTTGATTCTAGAAACTTGAATTGTGAGAAGAGACAAGACGGGAAATTAGTGACAAACGGTGACTCACCAGTGACTCATGTCCTTCCCGTACCCGACCGCACCAGGGTCGAAAACGGGTACCCGTACCCTACCTGATACCCGGCTACCCGTACCCGGCCGGGTATCGGATAGGGGTATCGGTTACCCGTTTGCAACCTCTGGGATGAAGCCATGTTGCGCGGGTGGGTTGATTCTAGG